TATTTCTTCCCCTTATTTCCTTATTTCTTCCCCTTATTTCCTTATTTCTTCCCCTTATTTCCTTATTTCTTCCCCTTATTCCCATATTTCTTCCCCTTATTTCCTTATTTCTTCCCCTTATTCCCTTATTTCTTCCCCTTATTCCCATATTTCTTCCCCTTATTCCCTTATTTCTTCCCCTTATTCCCATATTTCTTCCCCTTATTCCCATATTTCTTCCCTTTATTCCCTTATTTCCTTTATTTTTTCCCTATGTGTCACTTCCTTGCTTCGTTCCTACTGGGTATTTTCCCATTCTGCAGCTTCCCAACTTGACTGTAGGTGGAAGTGTTGGTGGTGTAAACATTATTATTATCTCTTGTGTGTCAGGGACTGATGGGTTAGTTGGTGTTTGAAGGTGGGGTCACCTGATCTTTGTGTGTGGGGGGCGTTGGCCCCCCTGGAAGATGCCGGGGATTGTTTTGATGGGTGTGTGGGTGTGTGGGTGTGTGTGTTTGGGTGTGGGTGGGTGTGTGTGGGTGGGTGTGTGTGGGTGGGTGTGTGTGTGGGTGGGTGTGTGTGTTTGGGTGTGGGTGGCGCCAGGTATATGTGTTTGGGTGTGGGTGGGTGTGGGTGTGGGTGGGTGTGGGTGTGGGTGGGTGTGGGTGTGTGTGTGTGTGTGTGCAATTACCTAAGTGTAGTTACAGGATGAGAGCTACGCTCGTGGTGTCCCGTCTTCCCAGCACTCTTTGTCATATAACGCTTTGCAACTACTGACGGTCTTGGCCTCCACCACCTTCTCACTTAACTTGTTCCAGGGGGAGAAGGTGGTGGAGGCCAAGACCGTCAGTAGTTTCTAAGCGTTATATGACAAAGAGTGCTGGGAAGACGGGACACCACGAGAGTGTGTGTGTGTGTGTGTTCAGCTAGTTGTGGTATGGGAGATTGAGCTTTGACTCTTTGGTCATTGAGAGTCGTATTCTGATGAATGTGTACAGTACTCGCTGCCTTATACTCTTGGATGTGCTTGCAGGATCGAACTAGGGCTCGTAACCCCCACCTCCCCATTCCCCACTCCATCTCTTATAACACTTATTAATTACTCTCTCACTTGAGAAGTTCTTCCTCACATTTTTATGATTTGTCTCAAGTCTCCATCTGTGCCCAATTGTTAAGCTGTTCCTTGCTTTAAACATTACTTTGTAAAATAAAAAGTTCTTCGACCTCTCACACTCTGGGTCCAGGGTTCGAGTCTCCAAGAATCTAGTGTGTTAAGATGAGTTTTTACTCGTATTCTCTAAAGTAATGGGGCCCAGTTCTTTCTCGTTCTCTTAAGTCCTCCTGAACTCACGATCGAACTTAGTTGAGTAACTTTGTCCCTTTTATATAGATTTTTGTGTTGACCAGACCACACACTAGAAGGTGAAGGGACGACGACGTTTCGGTCCGTCCTGGACCATTCTCAAGTCGATTGTGACTTAAGAATGGTCCAGGACGGACCTCTCAATCGACTTGAGAATGGTCCAGGACGGACCTCTCAATCGACTTGAGAATGGTCCAGGACGGACCTCTCAATCGACTTGAGAATGGTCCAGGACGGACCTCTCAATCGACTTGAGAATGGTCCAGGACGGACCTCTCAATCGACTTGAGAATGGTCCAGGACGGACCTCTCAATCGACTTGAGAATGGTCCAGGACGGACCTCTCAATCGACTTGAGAATGGTCCAGGACGGACCTCTCAATCGACTTGAGAATGGTCCAGGACGGACCTCTCAATCGACTTGAGAATGGTCCAGGACGGACCGAAACGTCGTCGTCCTTCACCTTCCAGTGTGTGGTCTGGTCAACATACGTCAGCCACGTTATTGTGACTCATCGCCTGCAGATTAGTGCGCGGTTTCGTGTGAGGGTTTAATACTGGGGTGGGAGGGTGGGCTGCATTCTCAAGAGTTGGTCTAACGTAGGTTGTTTTAGGACACGGGTGGGTTCTGTGTTGGCATTTCTGAGTGGTTGATGGATGCTGGCCAGTGGTCTGTCAGTATGGGCTTCGGGAGCCTGACAGCTGGGTGGACAGCGCTTCGGATTCGTAATCCTGAGGTTCGGGGTTCGATCCCCGGTGGTGGAGGCAGACAAAATAGGCAAAATGTTTTTCCCCCTGATGCCCGTGTTCACCTAGCAGTAAATAGGTACCTGGGAGTTAGCTGCTACGGGCTGCTTCCTGGGGGTGGAGGCCTGGTCGAGGACCGGGCCGCGGGGACGCTAAGTCCCGATATCATCTCAAGATAACATAAAGATATTCTGGCATTATCCCTTCGTTTTCTGAAGCAAAGATTCTTTCTTGATTCAAAGATTCTGAGCCTGATTCATTCTCTCTCTCTCTGATTCTATTTTCATTGCTTTACACTTATCTTGGTTAAATTCTAATAATCCCCTTTTATCAGACCACTTCTGGAGTCCTTGACGTGATTTCTATGTAGGGAATAGAACGCAGTTTCGTTCTGAATGCTTTTGTTGGTTCTAAATACAGAGCCTTGGGGCGTTCCTCTAGTTATATCGCTTGTATTTGATGAGTTCTCTTCCCCTACCACTGTAACCCTCTGTTTCCATCCGTAGAGGTATTCCTTCACCATTTGAAGCATTCGTTCAGAGGCACACTTGCTTGAGAGAATTCTAGAGTGGTGTAGAGTTCACAAGTTCACTTCAGGATGAACCTAGCGTTCTTGCACCCACTTCACTGCTCTATTGCATTAATACAATGTGAGCTTCCGTGCTTGTATCGCTGTATAATACACGGCTCTGTTTGCAAATTGCATTCGTGGTGTGTTTCAATGTTTTGATGTATTCTTTCGTTGGGATAAATTGTTGATTACTTTCTTGCACGGAACACGGCTGTTGTGATGTCCGCAGTGAAGTTATTGACTAACTGTGATCGTGGTATATAGATTATTATTACTGAAATATCTGTTGACATCGAGACAGACCTGACGGCCATATTCGTAGAGTTGTACACATTTTTATTTTCAGGATATGAGCTATGAGTTTTGGGGTCCCCCCTCTCTCCATTATTAATAGGTTGGTGTAAGTTGGTACATAGTTTTGCGTCCTGTTGTTGGTGTACACCACACGTGAATAGTACCCGTGTCTGATCTGTTCCCTTAAGTATTTTGTATGTTGTAATCATGTCTCCACTGGTGTTTCGTCTCCTGTTTCCCCGTAACCTGCTTAATTGCTTTCCACTTGCTTGAGCAGAACTCTAGCGGCCACTTGAGAGACCATACTCCCATTTTGTCCTGGTAATCCTGTAATTTTTTGCCGTTATCTTGAGTTGATTTCGGGGCTTTAGTGTCCCCGCGGCCCGGTCCTTGACCAGGCCTCCACCCCCAGGAAGCAGCCCGTGACAGCTGACTAACTCCCAGGTACCTATTTACTGCTAGGTAACAGGGGCATTCAGGGTGAAAAACTTTGCCCATTTGTTTCTGCCTCGTGCGGGAATCGAACCCGCGCCACAGAATTACGAGTCCTGCGCGCTATCCACCAGGCTACGAGGCCCCCCTCGCCGTCATCAATCCTTTTTTTCTCATACTCTTTGGCGACTTCAGCGAACATTGAAAGGAACATATTTTCCTTTCAATGTCTTCTATGGTTGTACATAATGCTTAAAAAACAGTATTGGCCCCAGTCTTGACCCTTGTGGGACGCTATTGCTAACCTCTCACTACTCTGAGAGGGGAGCCTGACAGCTAGCTGGGTGGACAGCGCTTCGGATTCGTAGTCCTGAGGTTCCGGGTCCGTTCCCCGGTGGAGGCGGAGACAAAGGGGCAAAATGTTTTTCACCCTGATGGGCTGTTACCTAGCAGTAAATAGGTACCTGGGAGTTAGACAGCTGCTGCGGGCTGCTTCCTGGGGGTGTGTAACAAAAAGGAGGCCTGATCGAGGACCGGGCCGCGGGGACGCTAAGCCCCGAAATTATCTCAAGATAACCTTAAGAGAGATGTGTTATCCCACAGACTTAGTCGTGTAGAGTTCCATCAGGTGGCTGTGGTTATGACTTTTCGTGTGTGATTGATGAAGATTAAGCCACCCAAAAGGTGGCACGGGCATGAATAGCCCGTAAGTGGTGGCCCTTTTGAGCCATTACCAGTATCAAGAGCTGATACTGGAGATCTGTGGAGGCGCGACTGCACCCTGCGTGACGGGAGAGGTCTCCCGGACCAAGTGGTGACCAGATGGTGACTTTTCGTGTGTTCTTTGGTTCCATTCAGTGTAATTTAAGACCTGAAACCTTCGTTGGGTTTCTCGCACACTTCTCTGTTGTTCTCGGTGACTGAGTCCTCGCCTATTCTCATCTATGTTAGTTTTAAAAGATTAGTAAATATATGACTATAAAATATTCTTACAGATAACACAATATTGATTACGATTTTTTTCAGACCTAGAGAATAAATTGCATTGAAGTGACATTAATGATATCAAGTGTACTATGATAACAGGTGTCTTGTTCAGCCTGTCTAGACTTGTTCACAGGGTAAATCACTCAAAGTTCAATTTTTGTTCATTTTAACTGTTGTAATAGAACAAGAGCGTCCAGTTCATCCTTTGTTCAATTTGTGCACAAGATGAACAGCCTTGTTAAAGTTCAAGTACATTTTATATTTTATTCCCATCATGATGAACAACGCTGTCAAATTCTACCTATATTCGTAATTTTTTTACAGGACGAACAACGCTGTCAAATTCTACCTATATTTGTATTTATTTTTTACAGGACGAACAACGCTGTCAAATTCTTCGATATTTTTTTTACATGAACAACGCTGTCAAATTCTTCGATATTTTTTTTACAGGACGAACAACGCTGTCAAATTCTACCTACATATTTTTTTACAGGACGAACAACGCTGTCAAATGCTACCTATATTTTTTACAGGACGAACAACGCTGTGGAATTCTTATATTTTTTTACAGGACGAACAACGCTCTCAAACTCTACTTATATTTTTATTTTATTTTTTTTACAGGACGAACAACGCTGGTGAAGTTCAGTCTACTGATACGCAGTATGGGGCCTATTTCTGAGAAGGATATGGTAAGGGCGCTTCCCGATGCTCAGGCGCAGGCTCCCAACTGCGTCCTTTGAACCTACAGGACGGGTTGAGCTTCAGCTCTTTGGTCCCGCCTGTCGATCAACTAGTATACAGGTTCCTGAGCCTATTGGGCTCTATCATATCAACATTTGAAGCTGTATATGGAGTCAGCCTCCACCACTATCCCATATGTGTATATAGTATACACATTAGCCTGTGTGTATGTGTTCATATCCACGTCACTCTCTCCTACGCCAGTGATTTGGGCGGAGTTCGAATCCTAGACAGAAAGCGGGAATCGAACTTGAAACCAATCCTTTTTTTTTTACCTTCTGCCCCTGTTTACCCAGCAGTAATTAGAGGACCTGGTTGTAAATAGATTAGCTGGCCGTGCTCTAAGGTATATAAGGTAAGGCTTAGCGTTGAGAAGTCAGAAACAGCACTTAATATTCCTTAAAGAAGTTAGTATATACAGGCGATGAGTCACAATAACGTGGCTGAAGTATGTTGACCAGACCACACACTAGAAGGTGAAGGGACGACGACGTTTCGCTCCGTCCTGGACCATTCACAATCGACTTGAGAATGGTTCAGGACGGACCGAAACGTCGTCGTCCCTTCAACTTCTAGTGTGTGTTCTGGTCAACAAGTTAGTATATATATAATATATATTGTTCGTGTAGAGTAGAGCCAGAGCATCCCTGACATAGCGGAGATGCGGAGATGCCGCCTCTAAGACATGGCTCTATAGCGGAGATGCGAAGATTCCGCCTCCAAGACATGGCTCTATAGCGGAGATGCGAAGATTCCGCCTCTAAGACATGGCTCTATAGCGGAGATGCGAAGATTCCGCCTCTAAGACATGGCTCTATAGCGGAGATGCGGAGATTCCGCCTCTAAGACATGGCTCTATAGCGGAGATGCGAAGATTCCGCCTCTAAGACATGGCTCTATAGCGGAGATGCGAAGATTCCGCCTCTAAGACATGGCTCTATAGCGGAGATGCGAAGATTCCGCCTCCAAGACATGGCTCTATAGCGGAGATGCGAAGATTCCGCCTCTAAGACATGGCTCTATAGCGGAGATGCGAAGATTCCGCCTCCAAGACATGGCTCTATAGCGGAGATGCGAAGATTCCGCCTCTAAGACATGGCTCTATAGCGGAGATGCGAAGATTCCGCCTCCAAGACATGGCTCTATAGCGGAGATGCGAAGATTCCGCCTCTAAGACATGGCTCTATAGCGGAGATGCGAAGATTCCGCCTCTAAGACATGGCTCTATAGCGGAGATGCGGAGATTCCGCCTCTAAGACATGGCTCTATAGCGGAGATGCGAAGATTCCGCCTCTAAGACATGGCTCTATAGCGGAGATGCGAAGATTCCGCCTCTAAGACATGGCTCTATAGCGGAGATGCGAAGATTCCGCCTCCAAGACATGGCTCTATAGCGGAGATGCGAAGATTCCGCCTCTAAGACATGGCTCTATAGCGGAGATGCGAAGATTCCGCCTCCAAGACATGGCTCTATAGCGGAGATGCGAAGATTCCGCCTCTAAGACATGGCTCTATTGCGGAGATGCGAAGATTCCGCCTCTAAGACATGGCTCTATAGCGGAGATGCGAAGATTCCGCCTCTAAGACATGGCTCTATAGCGGAGATGCGAAGATTCCGCCTCCAAGACATGGCTCTATAGCGGAGATGCGAAGATTCCGCCTCTAAGACATGGCTCTATAGCGGAGATGCGAAGATTCCGCCTCTAAGACATGGCTCTATAGCGGAGATGCGAAGATTCCGCCTCCAAGACATGGCTCTATAGCGGAGATGCGAAGATTCCGCCTCTAAGACATGGCTCTATAGCGGAGATGCGAAGATTCCGCCTCTAAGACATGGCTCTATAGCGGAGATGCGAAGATTCCGCCTCTAAGACATGGCTCTATAGCGGAGATGCGAAGATGCCGCCTCCAAGACATGGCTCTATTGCATGCCTTCGTGCATGCAAATGAGCTCGTGATATCCACATCGTCAGGCCGTTACTAGCAACTCTTCAAGGCTCGCTAGGTGCTAGAAAAGTTGCCTTTGCTCTTGGCAAAAGTTGATAGACTCGTTTTAAGTGGATTGTTGACGTTTTAATCTATCTTGGGAGTCTATTTGTTGGAGTCTGGTTGATGGGTTGATCAGGCCTAGTTAGTGGTTCGTAAGTGCTTGCGTAACTGCTTCGTGAATCTGGCTCCTCAGGTTCGTAATTGCTTGTGTAACTGCTTCGTGAATCTGGCCCCTCAGGTTCGTAATTGCTCGTGTAACTGCTTCGTGAATCTGGACCCTCAGGTTCGTAAGTGCTTGCGTAACTGCTTCGTGAATCTGGACCCTCAGGTTCGTAAGTGCTTGCGTAACTGCTTCGTGTATCTGGCCCCTCAGGTTCGTAAGTGCTTGCGTAACTGCTTCGTAAATCTGGCCCCAGGTTCGTAAGTGCTTGCGTAACTGCTTCGTGTATCTGGCCCCTCAGGTTCGTAAGTGCTTGCGTAACTGCTTCGTGAATCTGGCCCCTCAGGTTCGTAAGTGCTTGCGTAACTGCTTCGTGAATCTGGCCCCAGGTTCGTAAGTGCTTGCGTAACTGCTTCGTGAATCTGGCCCCTCAGGTTCGTAAGTGCTTGCGTAACTGCTTCGTGAATCTGGCCCCTGAATATTACGGCCACCTTTAAGAACGGACGCTGCCGGTGTGAGTGAAGTTTTGCTTGTTTGATATATAAAAAAAATTCCCATTGCATTAGTAAGGACAAGTGACCTCGGAAAAAAATACATAATGGGTGGGTTTGAATGAATGGATGAGTTAGATTTCAGACTCTGAATGGGTGAATGGGGTTAAAAGCCCCATACCAGAAAGTAAACGAAACTACGACATTTCGGTCCATTCTGCCTCCGGAGAGCCTATGTTCGTCCCATACCCCAGACCAGTCCCCCTGCAAAGATGGGAGATGGTGGCTCCGAGCGTCTGGCTTACAATGCTGGACAGACAGACATTCTGTAATGTAAAATTTTGCGTCCTGATTCCCATACCTCCTTCACTCAATGTCTTGAAATAGAAAGCAAAGTTGGGAGATATTGAACACATCCACAAAGGGTTCTGATGTGGGATCGAACCTGTGAATCACAATAACGTGATGATGTGAGTTCTGTGTGTATAGGGGGAGATTGTTTCTAGGCTACAACGAGTTTACAAGTGTACTTTCGTTAATATACTTGTCAATTATATGTATAGCAAATTACACATTTGACCACAGTAAATATGTAGGTAAATGTGTTTAAAAAGTCAGTCTATTGAGGACTAAGAGACAAGGAAAGGTGAAATCTGTGTGGAATGAGAAGTTTAAGTATTGGCTGATCAGTTTAAGTACTTGGGAACTTTAAGTGAGAGAGTCAGAACTTGTTGGAGAGTAGAGGTAGTGTAGAGGTGGGGGGGGGGGGTAGTGTAGAGGAAAGATGTACTCACCTAGTTGTGCTTGCGGGGGCTGAGCTCTGGCTCTTTGGTCCCGCCTCTCAACTGTCAGTCAACTGGTGTACAGGTTCCTGAGCCTATTGGGCTCTATCATATCTACACTTGAAACTGTGTATAGAGTCAGCCTCCACCACATCACTGCCTAATGCATTCCATCCGTTAACTACTCTGACACTGAAAAAATTGTCTCTAAATGGCTCTGTGGCTCATTTGGGCACTCAATTTCCACCTGTGTCCCCTTGTTCGTGTTCCACCCGTGCTGAAGAGTTTGTCTTTGTCCACCCGGGCTGGTTGGGTTGTTAACGAGTGTGACTTGGCACCGACTATTCAGATCATGTCCATTCCATCCAGCGGTCGACCCCAAAGACGTATTCATCAAATTTTAACATGCTGTTTGTTCAAAATAGGAATGTTCTTACGTGAATTCATATTGTTATATTGACATAATCTGTATAAATAGGCATGGGGGCTCTGTCTGTCTCTGTCTGTCTCTGTCTGTCTCTGTCTGTCTCTGTCTGTCTCTGTCTGTCTCTGTCTGTCTCTGTCTGTCTCTGTCTGTCTCTGTCTGTCTCTGTCTGTCTCTGTCTGTCTCTGTCTGTCTCTGTCTGTCTCTGTCTGTCTCTGTCTGTCTCTGTCTGTCTCTGTCTGTCTCTGTCTGTCTCTGTCTGTCTCTGTCTGTCTCTGTCTGTCTATGTCTGTCTATGTCTGTCTATGTCTGTCTATGTCTGTCTCTGTCTGACTCTGTCTCTGTCTCTGTCTGACTCTGTCTCTGTCTGACTCTGTCTCTGCCTGTCTGTCTCTCAGGTAACATGCCCACTAACACCTCCTCCTCCTGCAGAAGTACTCCATGGAGTGTTACCTGCGACAGGAGTGGAGTGACGACCGCCTGCGGTTCAACGGGCCGCTGGAGCAGCTGACTCTAAACATCAAGATGCTGGAGGCCCTCTGGAAGCCCGACACTTATTTCCACAACGGCTTGGGCTCGTACGTGCACATGACCACCCGTCCTAACAAGCTGATTAGGATTAATCAGAGCGGAGATATCCTCTACTCTATGAGGTGAGTAGAGGGGGGGACGTCCTCTATTGTGAGGTTAGTAGAGGGGGGATATCCTCTACTCTATGAGGTGAGTAGAGGGGGGGACGTCCTCTATTGTGAGGTGAGTAGAGGGGGGGACGTCCTCTATTGTGAGGTTAGTAGAGGGGGGATATCCTCTATTGTGAGGTTAGTAGAGGGGGGATATCCTCTACTCTATGAGGTGAGTAGAGGGGGGGACGTCCTCTATTGTGAGGTTAGTAGAGGGGGGATATCCTCTACTGTGAGGTGAGTAGAGGGGGGATGTCCTCTACTCTATGAGGTGAGTAGAGGGGGGGACGTCCTCTATTGTGAGGTTAGTAGAGGGGGGGATATCCTCTACTCTATGAGGTGAGTAGAGGGGGGGACGTCCTCTATTGTGAGGTTAGTAGAGGGGGGGACGTCCTCTATTGTGAGGTTAGTAGAGGGGGGATATCCTCTACTCTGAGGTGAGTAGAGGGGGGAATGTCCTCTACTCTATGAGGTGAGTAGAGGGGGGAATGTCCTCTACTCTATGAGGTGAGTAGAGGGGGGGACGTCCTCTATTGTGAGGTTAGTAGAGGGGGGATATCCTCTACTCTATGAGGTGAGTAGAGGGGGGGACGTCCTCTATTGTGAGGTTAGTAGAGGGGGGATATCCTCTACTCTATGAGGTGAGTAGAGGGGGCACGTCCTCTATTCTATTCTCTCTCCTTTCTTTTATGTCATCCTAGGCGATTCGAGGGTTCGAATCGCCCTCATTGCTCCGAGTAGGTTTTTTCACCGCTTGATTGTTTCAAGCGTAGGCTAGACGTGAATATGAATCCATCTAGATTGTTTATAACGAAGAACAGCCTCGAGCAGTGTTCTTAATGCATAAGATTTCATGTTCTTGTCACACACACACACACACACACACACACACACACACACACACACACACACACACACACAGAGGTTTCAGAGGTTTGCGACGAGGCTTGTCCCAGAGCTACGAGGGATGGGATATGAAGAGCGGCTGAAGGAACTGAACCTTACGACACTAGAGAAAAGAAGGGAGAGAGGAGATATGATAGGGACATATAAAATACTCAGGGGAATTGACAAAGTGGAAATAGATGAAATGTTCACACGTAATAATAACAGAACGAGGGGACATGGGTGGAAACTGGAAACTCAGATGAGTCACAGAGATGTTAGGAAGTTTTCTTTTAGCGTGAGAGTAGTAGAAAAATGGAATGCACTTGGGGAACAGGTTGTGGAAGCAAATACTATTCATACTTTTAAAACTAGGTATGATAGGGAAATGGGACAGGAGTCATTGCTGTAAACAACCGATAGCTAGAAAGGCGGGATCCAAGAGTCAATGCTCGATCCTGCAAGCACATATAGGTGAGTACATATAGGTGAGTACACACACACACACACACACACACACACACACACACACATGGTTGGTATGGTTGGGCAGACTGCATATTTCTGGACTGCCAAAAAGCCTTTGATACAGTACCGTACATGAGACTGCTGTTCAAGCTCGAGAGGCAGGCGGAGGTGGGGGGAAAGGTCCTAGCATGGATAAGGAACTACCTAACAGGAAGGAGCCAAAGAGTTACGGTAAGGGGGCGAGAAGTCGGACTGGCGAACAGTAACAAGTGGAGTACCACAAGGATCGGTGCTGGGACCAATTCTATTTCTTGTATATGTTAACGACATGTTTACAGGCGTAGAGTCCTACATGTCGATGTTTGCGGATGACGCTAAGTTGATGAGAAGAGTTGTGACAGATGAGGATTGCAGGATCCTCCAAGAGGACCTGAACAGGTTGCAGAGATGGTCAGAGAAATGGCTACTGGAATTCAACACGAGCAAATGTAAAGTTATGGAAATGGGACTAGGAGATAGGAGACCAAAGGGACAGTACACAATGAAGGGGAACAGCCTACCTGTAACGACGCGTGAAAGAGACCTGGGGGTGGACGTAACACCTAATCTATCTCCTGAGGCACATATAAATAGGATAACGACAGCAGCGTACTCTACACTGGCAAAAGTTAGAACATCATTCAGAAACCTAAGTAAGGAGGCATTTAGGGCGCTTTACACTGCATACGTAAGGCCAGTCTTAGAGTATGCCGCCTCATCATGGAGTCCCCATCTGAAGAAGCATATAATGAAACTGGAAAAGGTTCAGAGGTTTGCAACGAGACTCGTCCCAGAGCTGCAAGGGATGGGGTATGAGGAGCGCCTGAGGGAACTGTGCCTTACGACACTAGAAAGAAGAAGGGAGAGGGGGGACATGATAGGAACGTATAAGATACTCAGAGGGATTGACAGAGTGGACATAGACGAAATGTTCACACGTAATAATAACAGAACGAGGGGACATGGATGGAAGCTTGAAACTCAGATGAGTCACAGAGATGTTAGGAAGTTTTCTTTTAGCGTGAGAGTAGTGGGGAAATGGAATGCACTTCAGGAACAGGTTGTGGAAGCAAATACTATTCATAATTTTAAAACCAGGTATGATAGGGAAATGGGACAGGAGTCATTGCTGTAAACAACCGATGCTCGAAAGGCGGGATCCAAGAGTCAATGCTCGATCCTGCAGACACAACTAGGTGAGTACAACTAGGTGAGTACACACACACAGCTACAAGTGTAGATATAATAGAGCCCAATAGGCTCAGGAATCTGTACACCAGTTGATTGACGGTTGAGAGGCGGGACCAAAGAGCCAAAGCTCAACCCCCGCAAGCACAATTATGTGAGTACACACACACACACACACACACACACACACACACACACGCACGCACGCACGCACGCACGCACGCACGCACGCACGCACGCGCGCACGCACGCGCGCACACACACACACACACACACACACACACACACACACACACACACACACACACACACACACACACACACACAGCAACACGCACCATTAAATCTCCATGGCGTAGTGAAGCATGTGTCCGAATTCCTAATTCTGCCACTTAGACCGGTGCGGTGGGAGAGAGGGGGGAGGGGGGGGACACAGGGGACACATGGAGTTATAATGTGTCACTTGTGTTTGAGACACGTGCGGTCGGCCCCTGGGAATGTTAAGATGGGGGGGCGGGGGGGCGCAGGAGAAGGTTTCGAACGTGGGTGGTTTTGAACAGGTTTCTAATTCTAGGTCCACTACCTGTTAGCGACGAGAAGGGCTTTACATAGTGTGGGGGGGGGCTTGGGGCTTTACACAGTGTGGGGGGAGGCTTGGGGCTTTACACAGGGTGGGGGGGAGGCTTGGGGGCTTTACACAGGGTGGGAGGGAAAGACCTGCTATCTTACTCCCCATAGATGTCCCCACACACCATGTAGATAACAGCGGGGTTTGCAGATAAGATAGTTATGGTCGAAAATGCTCGTTAGTTATCGGTTATTCCCTTGTATTCTTCTATACGCTTATCCCCCTTGCGTGCGTGTGTCTGTCTGTCTGGTGCCAGATCAACATTGTACAGTGAATAGGGTCAGCTCCCATTGGCTAATGGAGGTAGTTACCTATTATCCTTTATTAACCATTAGGCCAGGAAAAAATTATATAAAGAGGACTGTAAGAACTGTAATTGGCATTTCTTTATAGATATACATTTTAATATATAATATATAATGAGGTAATATTTTGTAAATTTTAGATTAAATTTTAAGAGTAAAAATTATTGTTAATTTGTTTCATTAGGATTTTATTTTTGTCAATTTTCTGTTAAGTGGAAAATTTGATTGTCTTGGTTTTCATGTGTTTTTTTGTTTGTTTTTAAACATGTGTTTATTACTGTTTCCGGTATATTTCGTGCAACCCGTTCTCGCAAATTCGTAAAGTCAATATTGACTTATTAACTACGTGCATAGGTGACATACTAAACATAATAGATACCCTTAAAAAGCTTCATAGAAAACACCGACCTTACCTAACCTTGTTAGTATCTTAAGATAAGCATCTTATTGCTTCGTAATTACAATTATTACTTAACCTATACCTATAATAGGTTAAGTAACAATTGTAATTACGAAGCTATAAGATACTTATCTTAAGATACTAACAAGGTTAGGTAAGGTCGGTGTTTTCTATGAAGCTTTTTAAGGGTATCTATTATGTTTAGTATGTCACCTATGCACTTATTTAATAAGTCAATATTGACTTTACGAATTTGCGAGAACGGGTTGATTTCGTGAGGTTTCTCTCTCTCCTTAGGTTGACTATCAAGGCGAAGTGCCCCATGGAACTACGCAATTTTCCTATGGACAAGCAGTCGTGTCCCCTCGTTATCAGCAGCTGTAAGTCTCCCCCCCCCCCCTTTGTCCTTCCACTTGGGGGTGGACGGTAGAGCGACGGTCTCGCGTCTTGCAGGTCGGCGTTCAATCCCCCGAGACCGTCCACACAAGTGGTTGGGGCACCATTCCTTTCCCACCGTCCCATCCCAAATCCTTATATCCTGACCCCTTCCCAGGGCTATATAGTCGTAATGGCTTGGCGCTTTCTCCTGATAATTCCCCCCCCCCCCCCCTCTAGAGGAAAATTACCTAAAAAAAACTGATTAAAACTCTAAAAAAACTTGGGAAGTAAAATAAAATTACATAAAATATTAATATAGTTGTCTCCCTTTAATTTAAAATCAGATAAAATATTAATATAATTGTCTCCCTCTAATTTAAAATTAGATGGTAATTAAGAGGAATTAATTGAATTACCGATTAGCCATAAGTGAGGTTAATCATGCCTTAAGGTGCTTCCGGGGCTTAGCGTCCCCGCGGCCCGGTCGTCGACCAGGCCTCCTATCATTTAGCTATTTTTTTTTATGAAGGGGAAATTAGTTGAAAATTATTATAAAATAATCTATGTAGAACCTAACCTAGTATGTTAGTCCTATATAGTTGAATAGGCTGCGTGACTATACCCTCTTTCCTGCCTTTTAATGTTCACTGATTTTAATGTAAATTAGTGTATCAGAGAGGTTCATCTCACTTGATACCGACAGAATTTTGACTCGCATTAGGATCAAGGTGTTACCCATGCAGCAAGCTACTAACCCTGTCCTCCCTCGCTTGATCCTGACAGAATTTTGACTCGCATTAGGATCAATGCAGCAAGCCACTAACCCTGTCCTCCCTTGCATACTGACAGAAGTTTGACTCGCATTAGGATCAAGGTGTCACCCATGCAGCAAGCTACTACCCTGTCCTCCCTTGCTTGATACTGACAGAATTTTGACTCGCATTAGGATCAAGGTGTTACCCATGCAGCAAGCTACTAACCCTGTCCTCCCTCGCTTGATACTGACAGAATTTTGACTCGCATTAGGATCAAGGTGTTACCCATGCAGCAAGCTACTATGCATACTGACAGAGCCACTAATGCCAAGCTACTAACCCTGTCCTCCCTTGCTTGATACTGACAGAATTTTGACTCGCATTAGGATCAAGGTGTTACCCATGCAGCAAGCTACTAACCCTGTCCTCCCTTGCTTGATACTGACAGAATTTTGACTCGCATTAGGATCAAGGTGTCACCCATGCAGCAAGCTACTAACCCTGTCCTCCCTTGCTTGATACTGACAGAATTTTGAATCGCATTAGGATCAAGGTGTCACCCATGCAGCAAGCCACTAACCCTGCCTTCTCCCACAGACGGGTACACGGAGAAAGATGTGAAATTCGTGTGGGACAAGAAACTAGTCAGCTTCGTACCCGGAATGGCGCTCAGTCAGTTTGAGATCCTCAATACCAAGTGCTCTAACTACTCCGTCAGATGGCGCTCTAGCAAAGGTGAGTACTTACCTAATTGTGCTTGCGGGGGTTGAGCTCTGGCTCTTTGGTCCCGCCTCTCAACCGTCAATCAACTGGTGTACAGGTTCCTGAGCCTATTGGGCTCTATCATATCTACACTTGAAACTGTGTATGGTCTATACTCACCTGAGGGGTTGAGCTCTGGCTCTTTGGTCCCGCCTCTCAACTGTCAATCAACAGGTGTACAGGTTCCTGAGCTTTCTATCATGTCTACATTTGAAACTGTGTATGGAGTCAGCCTCCACCACATCACTGCCTAATGCATTCCATTTGTCAACTACTCTGACACTGAAAAAATTCTTTCTAACGTCTCTGTGGCTCATCTGGGTACTAAGTTTCCACCTGTGTCCCCTTGTTCGTGTCCCACCAGTGTTGAGTGTAAACTCAGTATATATATATCCTCCAAGACTCACAATACACACAGGTCAATATACCCGAAGAATGTATATAGTGAATCAAACTGTGTGGATTTGTTTTTCAACATTGCAGCGTACGGATATAAAAATATAGCGGGGGCTAATTTTTGTTTTCTTGCAATGTATCTGTTATTTTATTAATTCTGCTAGAATTTACCTACTTAAGATTATCTGTTAGATTAAGGACCTGCCCGAAACGCTGCGCGTACTAGTGGCTTTACAAGAGTGTAAATACTATGCTATGTATTCTCACAAACCCAATGTACCTTCTTGTATATACATATATATATTTATATAATATATATTTATTTATATATGTATATAAATAAATAAAATTATAGGCTGGTTGTTAGCGGGGGAATAAAGTCTACAAAAATTCCACAGAAAAAATATATATGTATACATAGGTTTTAACGAACATGTATCATATTGAAATGTATATGTATAAACCACTAATTAGAAGGAAGGGTTAAGCTAAGCTATTTAAGCATTTAGAAGGGGGTCAGGATAAGGATTTGGGATGGGACGGAGGAGGGAAGGAATAGTGGCTAACCACTTGTGGACGGTCTCGGGGGATTGAACTCAGACCTGTCACTTATCGAATCTGAGTCCTGTTAATCTGAATTTTATGCAATAGTTTGATTTTCCGATCATAAAATGTGTAATCTAGTTCAATATTCCTCCAGAGGTTAGTTATAGTTCCACCAAATGCGGTTTCTAGGTCATAATCTATTCAAACTTGCTGTTTAGCCCAACTGGTTAACCTTTGGAATATGTTAAGGATGTGTGTGTGTGTGTGTGTGTGTGTGTGTGTGTGTGTGTGTGTGTGTGTGTGTGTGTGTGTGTGTGTGTGTGTGTGTGTGTGTAATTACCTAAGTGTAGTTACAGGATGAGAGCTACGCTCGTGGTGTCCTGTCTTTGTGTGTGTGTGTGTGTGTGTGTTTGTGTGTGTTTGTGGGTGTGTGCGTGCGTGCGTGTATTCACCTAGTTGTGTTTGCGGGGGTTGAGCTCTGCTCTTTGGGCCCGCCTCTCAACTGTCAATCAACTGTTTCTACTATTATTATTTTTTTCCACACACATGCACACTCCAGGAAGCAGCCCGTGACAGCTGACTAACACCCAGGTACCTATTTACTGCTAGGTAACAGGGGCATAGGGTGAAAGAAACTCTGCCCATTGTTTCTCGCCAGCGCTCAGGATCTAACCCGGGACCACAGGATTACGTGCTGTCCGCTCGGCCGGCCGGCTCCCTTCCCTGTGTGTGTGTGTGTGTGTGTATAGTTAGGCAAGTCCAGTTAGGCAAGTCCAGTTAGGCAAGTCCAGTTAGGCAAGTCCAGTTAGGCAAGCCCAGTTAGGCAAGCCCAGTTAGGTGAGTACTCTTCGGTTACCAACGTTATAGGAGCTTATATCATCATATAAGAACAATAACAATGAACACGGTTGAACAATAACATCCGGTCTGAACATCCGATCGAGTCATTCGGTTAAAAAAAGGCTAATCAAACACGTGTTCAAAACCTAACAGGTGTTCTGAACAGGTGTTTGATGTTGAACACCACATGAACACCAGAGGTCAACCGCAGCTCAAAAACCTCCAATAAAGGTAGGCGTGTTCCTTCCAAGAAGTGCTGGACCAACCAGGCTGTGATGGACGTGTGTGGGGGCCTGCGGGCCGCTCCAAGCAACAGCAGCAGCCTGTTGGACCAAGTTATCACAGGTTAAGTCTGGCTCCGGGCCGGGCTCGGGGAATAGAACTTATACCCTCGAAGCCCTCCCTCTCCCTCTGGGTATATTCCAGGTATATCAATTGGATAGTGCATACAACTCGTTGCAAGACGATGCATTAACTTGCAAGATATATATATATGAACATTGCACGCATACGCGCATAGACAATTAAGGGAGAGGATTTAATTACGATTCTTCAGGCTTGAATACTGCCGGACAGTTAGAATGATCCTGTTGCATATGAAAGTTTTCCCCCTCTATGTCCCTTCCCTCTCCATCTCTCGCCCTTCTCACACCCTCACTCCACACTCGCACCACTCTCACACCTTCCTCTCATCCCTCCTATCTCATCTATTCCTCTTTCTTGCCTCTCTCCTTCTTTATTTCCTCCTTTCTCCATGGCCGTCGTAATTTCTTGAATATTTATTTAGTCTCCCTTCAAAAATAACTTCCCATCCTGTAGGGATTTTGTTTATTTTAGCTTACTAACTTAACAATGAAACTGGTATTATGTTAGCATTATAATAATAATATTATTTACAATAACATTAACGGCAACATCGTAATAATTCTCAGGTTAATGTTATTCACATAATGTAAAAGTTTGTTGATTATTGAAGAAAACGGACGTTTGTGCATGTTGCGAGGGTAGACTGAGCAAGAAGTGATGGCGGCCATTATCTAAAGTTGTCCCAGTCGTATGTTCATTTTATTGGCATTGTTCAGTCGGCGGTGGCATTAATAACCATTGGTATTATTTTTGAGTGCCACAAGCTGTGTACTATTGTTCACGTGTTTGTATTATACTTGGTTGATACTATTTACACCCTTTCTCAGCTAAATATTGACCCTTGACCCAGCACGACACAGCTTGCTGACCCTTTGACCTCTCCGCAGGAATGTACTCGGCGCTGAGGGTCAACTTCAACCTGTCGCGGAGTGCCGGCTACTTCCTCATCCAGGTGTATGTGCCGTGCATCCTGATCGTCGTCCTCTCCTGGGTCTCTTTCTGGATCAACAGAGAAGCCACCAGCGACCGAGTCGGACTGGGTGAGAGATTGTGAGAGAGATTGTGAGATTGTGAGAGAGATTGTGAGAGAGAGAGATAGAGAGAGAGAAAGAGAGCGAGCTCAAGAATTATCTTTTAGACCTTAAAAGTGCACCACAGGGTAGTTTAAATAGTCCATATTAAGGCATGAAAATATGGAATGGTTAGATAATGGCCGCCACATCTCTAGCTCAGTCTACCCTCGCGACATGCGCAAAAGTCCGTTTTCTTCAATAATCAAGGGGTCCGTTATTCCTCATTCCGCTAGATGACGACACTAACATTAATATTTATATCCACAAAGAGCAGAAGTGTCGATTCCTACGAGGCTCATTAATCATGTTCGGAATTAATTTCCTCCTGAGGTAGACGATTACAAGTTGCATCTACGGCAGAGGAAATAAAGGGTGAAAATCGTGGCTATCTAGAGATATATTAAGATTGATAGATTGATAAAGATTAAGCCACCCAAGAGGTGGCACGGGCATGAATAGCCCGTAAGTAACGATAAACGATATTAAATCTAGGACAGGTATATATATGGCTGGGGAGAGGTCCGGTGCTCTGTGATGGGGACATCTTGGAGGTGAAGTCTGACGCTTGAGTATCAATGAAGAGAGGATGAACAAGAGGTGAGAAATGATCGCAACATGAAAGATATTGACGAATTTACTAGATGTATAACCATTGCCCTTCCAATATACAAGATGTACATTTGCCCTTTCATTGGACATTATTAGCAACGTGGAGAGGGGGGGGGGACCTGCTGCATGGGTAACAGCTTCTCCATATCAACCTACCCTGGCTTTACGCCCTGGAGAGGGGGGGGAGACCTGCTGCATGGGTAACAGCTTCTCCATATCAACCTACCCTGGCTTTACACCCTGGAGAGGGGGGGGGACCTGCTGCATGGGTAACAGCTTCTCCATATCAACCTACCCTGGCTTTACGCCCTGGAGAGGGGGGGGGACCTGCTGCATGGGTAACAGCTTCTCCATATCAACCTACCCTGGCTTTACGCCCTGGAGAGGGGGGGGACCTGCTGTATGGGTAACAGCTTCTCCATATCAACCTACCCTGGCTTTACGCCCTGGAGAGGGGGGGGGACCTGCTGCATGGGTAACAGCTTCTCCATATCAACCTACCCTGGCTTTACGCCCTGGAGGGGGGGGGGACCTGGGGGGGGGGGGACCTGCTGCATGGGTAACAGCTTCTCCATATCAACCTACCCTGGCTTTACGCCCTGGAGAGGGGGGGGGACCTGCTGCATGGGTAACAGCTTCTCCCCCGAATCAACCTACCCTGGCTTTCCGCCCTGGAGAGGGGAGAGACCTGCTGCATGGGTAACAGCTTCTTGAAAGAACAACGTCAATTCAACGCCTCGCCTTCGAATCAACGTAGATTACGTTGATTGAACGTCAGTCCAACGCAGTTCAATTGTCTTGAGACAATCGACTTGAGAATGGTCCAGGACGGAGCGAAACGTCGTCGTCCCTTCACCTTCTAGTGTGTGGTCTGGTTATCTTCTTATCTTGAGATCTTGAGATGATTTCGGGGCTTTAGTGTCCCCGCGGCCCGGTCCTCGACCAGGCCTACATCCCCAGGAAGCAGCCCGTGACAGCTGACTAACACCCAGGTACCTATTTTAATGCAAGGTAACAGGGGCATAGGGTGAAAGAAACTGTCCGTTGTTTCTCGCCGGCGCCTGGGATCGAACCCAGGACCACAGGATCACAAGTCCAGCGTGCTGTCCGCTCGGCCGACCGGCTCTCGACATACTTCAGCCACGTTATTGTGACTGAAGTTGTTAGATACTGTGCGTACTGGCCAGAGGAATGCACTGAGGGTATGGAAGCCACCTCCACCGAAGGTCGCCATTGGAATGTAAGAGATACATTACAAGGCAACGGGTACACGATGGCTGGTAGGCGAGGCGTGTAAAGAGCTGGGGCCAGATTCACGAAAGCACTTACGCAAGCACTTACGAACCTTTACCATCTTTTCTGAATCTTTGGCGGCTTTGTTTACAATTATTAACTACAGTTAATGAGCTCCGACCAGCACCAGGAGGCTGTTTATAACCACAATAGCAACAGTTGATTGGCAAGTTTTCATGCTTGTAAACTGTTTAATAAATGTAACCAAACACCGTCAAAGGTTGACACTAACCAACATTACACTACACGTTCGTACCACCACCACACCACCACCAACCACTTGCGTAAGTTCTTTCGTGAATCTGCCCCCTGGTTTGCAGTTACACCACCACCACCACCACTTACACTACCACCACCACCACCACCACCACTTACACTACCACCACCACTACTTACACTACCACCACCACCACTTACACTACCACCACCAAGGGAGCCGGTCGGCCGAGCGGACAGCACGCTGGACTTGTGATCCTGTGGTTCCGGGTTCGATCCCAGGCGCCGGCGAGAAACAATGGGCAGAGTTTTTTTCACCTTATGCCCCCTGTTACCTAGCAGTAAAATAGGTACCTGGGTGTTAGTCAGCTGTCACGGGCTGCTTCCTGGGGGTGGAGGCCTGGTCGAGGACCGGGCCGCGGGGACACTAAAAAGCCCCGAAATCATCTCAAGATAACCTCAATAAGATCCCAGCTACCAAATCAACACCACCCAGTAAGTTGACGAAGGGACAAAGATAGATATATCTTTGATATATATATATAGATATATATAGATAGATATAACCACAGATATATGGAAGCTGTACAAGTGGGAGTTGCATTAAACAAAAAATTCACCGGAGGAATGGTCAAGCGAGCCTTCGACTTCAATGAATAGAAGATAGTTGCTCAATTGTGTAAGTCTCTGGTGCGGCCCCCATGTGGATT